TGATTTAGGCCTTAGCCTACATTTTTATCCTTTCATTATGAGGTTTCACCAGTTCAAAAACAATACAGAAGGCAAAGTTTGAGACATTTCAGGCTATATTGCTTTAATGATTTATTTATTCTTATAACTTTTATCCAGCACACTCCTTCTGGGAAGGCTTTCTACATGTTTTAGGAGTGCGTTTATTGGAGTTTTTGACCATTCTTCCAGAAGCGCGTTTGTGAGGTCAGACAGTAATATTGGACGAGAAAGCCTGGCTCACAGTCTCTGCTCTAATTCATCCCAAAGGTGTTCTATCAGGTTGAGGTCAGGACTCTGTGCAGGCCAGTTAAGTTCTTCCACACCAAACACGCTCAACCGCTGTCTTTATAGACCTGGATTTGTGTACTGGTGTGCAAGTCATGTTGGAACAAGAAGGGGCCGTCCCCAAACTGTTCCCACAAAGTTGGGAGCATGAAATAGTCCAAAATGTCTTTGTATGCTGGAGCATAAAGAGTTCCTTTTACTGGAACTAAGGGGCTGAGCCCAAGTCCTGTAAAGCAATATGCCAAAACCCCCTCCCCCAAACTGTACAGACTGTACAATGCAGTCAGACAACTACCACTCCCCTGGCAACCAGCAAACCCAGACTTGTTCAACAGATTGCCAGATGGAGAAGTGCGATTTGTCACGTTTCCACTTCTCTAGTCCAGTGGCAGCGTGCTTTAAGACTCTGGCGTTTGCATTGCACTTGTTGATGTAAGGGTTGAATGCAGCTACTTTGCCATGGGAACAACTCCATGAAGCTCTTTACACACTCACTCTTGAGCTACTCTAAAGGGTACAAAAGTTAGAAGGGGTGTGTGACCTCTGTGCACTATGCTGCTGAGGTCTCAATAAACAAAAAACATGTCTTTTTAATTGCCATAATGCCCTTCAGGTATTGGTCTTGTGCACTTTTGAATTATTTTTGGCACTGCTGCTATTTTTAAATTGCTCCCTAGATGTCTTTTTCTAGCCACCTGTATGCTTCAAATATGCCATAAATATACCTCAAACTCCAGCTGATCTAATCCTTATGTTCTGGAGCATCCCTAGTGATAAGAGTTGGGTCTCTGACTGTGATCCACACACCTTTTCTTCAAGATAAAATGCAAGTTGAAGTGAGTCACACTAAAGGAGGTTCCCTTTGTACTGCAGTCTCACAAGTGCTTGAGTCAGAATGGAGGAGCGATCTCAAACTAAGTCTGGAAATGGTACATGGCTGCACAAGACACCGTCAGATTCAATGATTAAAACTAGAAATAAAAACTTACTAAGTGTTACTGAGATTTAAACCGTGTGAGCTGAGAAATAGTTTGTTGATGATGCTGAAATCTGTTTTAGTCCCAGGGAGGAGCAGCAAGTACAGGTCCAGAAGCCAGATCACTGAGCCAAGACAGAGCTAAGGCTCAGCCAAGGTCTACCAAGAACCGCGAGATGGACGGTAGGATGACTTGGCAATATCTAGTGTGGTTTGGTTTAAGGTTATTGAATTAGCTGAGTTGTTTTCAATGTGGGGAAATAATTTTGTTATATCAGTCTTTATCTGCATGCCAAAATATATACA